CTTTGCCACATATAACAAAATGAACAATAATTCCTTCTTACCAGCCCACATTCAAACTCCCCCCATTGTCTCAAAAGGAACTGCATTTAGCGGCATCGTAGACCAGTGTAGGTGGTGGGCAGGAGGTGCTTTACTTCCCCACCGTCCTGACTGTGGCTCTGGCAGAAAGCGTGCTGGAGAGGACCCCGCAGAGAGCTCTAGGCTGGCTACAGACACCGTCCCCACTTGTTGGATCTCGGGATTTCCTCTCCTCAAGGAATAGCTTATGAAACTTCCCCTTCTATTTTCCAATGTCCCATGGTCTTCCTCGGAGACCTGCCCGGCTTCCATGCTGCTGGCACCCACCTGGCTGGCACCCACCTGGCTGGCACCCACCTGGCTGGCACACTGGTCCCCACTTCACTGCCTTTCCGGCAGCTGCATCTTTCACTGCAGAAGTTTCCTAAATCAGGGAAGAGACTTTCCCAAGAAGTACCGCTCTTCCACCAGCCTTGATCTACCATACCTACATGAGTCACACAGCTCTTTAGATCTCCCAAAGGGCCTCGGCTTCTTCATGGTTAGAAAATGTTGGCTGAATTTCTCCTGAGCTAAGTCAGAGAACATGTGAGTAGCCAGCCACACACTGTGTCACATCGAAAGGCGCTCCTCTGACTAAAGAGACATGGCAACTGAGTACACTGCTTACTCAGGGATTTTCTTTGGCTATAAAGAACACTATTAAGACAACTGACGAAATCTGAATCAGGTCTGTATTTTATTGTCTGATAGTATATTAATATTAATTTCCAGATTTTGATGATTGTACTGCTGAGAATACGTAAGAGAATGTCCTTGTCTTTAGAAAATACATTTTAAATATTGAGGGATAAAGGGGCAAAATGTCTGCAACTTACTTTCCAGTGGTTCAGAATAATGGGTATCCACAGAGAGAAAACAAATACCGCAAATGAGGTAAAATGTTAACATTTGGGGAATCTGGGTGAAAGGTATATGGGAATTCTTTGTATGAAGAGTCAGAATAAATCTGAAATTATGTCAGCATCCTCTGCTGGGCTCACCTCTTCTCCATTAAACGTTGGGTTTGGGGGCATTTCCTTATGCTCTCTTCTCTTCCTTAGGTAATCTCCATTTCCATGATATTAATTACCATCTACGTGATATGCTCAAATTTCTCTCTCAAACCCAGGCTTCTCTTCTTAATGTCAGCTTGCATGTCCAGTTCCTTACCTTTTCACCTCTTCTCAAATGTCTCATAAATAATCGCAAACGCTCCATGCCCCAATCTGAATTCACATTCTTATCTCTCTCCCACAAACTCACTCTGCTTCCAAGGCCTCCTCGCCTGAGTGCACAATGCCACTGCTTGCTCAAGCCCGAAAAAAAATAAAATAAAATAAAAATCCAGTAGTCATTTTTGGCTGCTGTCTTCCTCATCTCTCACATCCAATTTTGTTTCCCGTGACGAAACTTGACTCTCAAACTATTAATGATCTTTTTTCGTTGAAAACTTTTGTTTTCTTATTCACTTACATGTTCTGGCAGGTCTACAATCCTTACAAAGGTTTGCAAGCAAGGGGCAATATTTATAATATATAATCTTGGTTTTATATCCTGGCCTCCATAGGAACCTTGTTTATTACTTTTAACACTCGCTGCCGTTGAAGTATGTATTAACTATCAAAACTGTGTTTGTGAATGCACATATGTAAAATATTTTTCTCCACCACATTGTCATCAATCTTGATGAATATTAGGAAAGACGTACTTTTTCTATCAAACAAAATAATGATATGGTCTGTCACTTAAATAATGCTTCAGCATCTTTCTTGAAGCCTTTATTTACTTTGCCAAATGTTTGTTTTGTGTGACCTGTTGTTCTTGAGAGATGTCGTAGCTCATAGAGCCATCATGAACACAGGGACACCTCACCTGCATGCTATGTATCTGTAATGGAACTACTGGTGGGAGAGCAATTTGGTTCTAATCTTGGTCATCTGAGGACCTACGACACAGCACAGGTCCATAGCTGTGCAATGATAAAATGTTATATAACGGGAATGCAGAACAACCACTCAAAGTGAATTTTTGTTAAATAAAGGTTCATAGACAATATGATATAATTTGTAATAGTGCATGTGTACTTGCTAGTGGAAAATATTTAGCCAGGCATTTCAGGAATGATCCCTCAGCTCCACACTTACAAATTCTGCCGAAGATGCTCAGGAAAGATGTGGGGACCAGGTGGGAAGATAAGATATAACTGTTATCTCTGCAGAGCTTCTTGTTCTCTTCAACTTGTGTATACCTTTTATTTTGGTCAAGTAAACCACATTTCATAGAGATCTTCAGAACTGAGACCATGCCCTGAATCACTGCATCATGTATGAAAACGAAATACATTTTCATTGAAGAGTCAACAAAATAAGGTCAAAGTAAAACATTTTTAGAGTAATGAAAGAAAAAAAAATCTGAGGACTTGTCATAAACAAACCCTCACTGTAGGAAATACTACAGGATTTATGAGTAGTGTAATCCCAGGTAGAAGATATGAAAAGCAAGAAAGGATATGATGACGTCATAAAATAATAGTAGTTATGACTTGTGGGTTTAAGATATATTTGAAATAAAAATAGTAATAATATATAAGTTAGGGGGAAGTAAACTGTAGTTAAGAGGTTTTAAAGATTTTGTAGGGGCCGGCCAAATGGCACATTGGTTAAGAGCTGGCTTGGGACACCAGTTCTGAGCAGCAGGGCCCTGGTTCGGATCCCACATGAGGGCCAGTGACGCTGCACCCTCTACAGCTAAGATGGTGAACAACAGCTCAACCTGGAGCTGGGCTGCCGAGAGTCACTGGCGACGGTGTAGGCAGCATCCCCTGCTGCAGTGGGCTGCCGTGAGCTACTGTGAGTGGCTGACAGCCAGCATGAGCGGCCAGCAGCTGGCGAGAGCTGCCATGAGCTGCTGTGAGCAGCCGTCCATTGGCCAGCAAGCGACTGCCTCACCGAGGAAGAGCGCAATGATGGTGCCAACTTGGGCCAGTGAAGCGACGTCCTCCACAACTAGACTGAAGAACAAAAGGACAGCAACTTGTCTGTTCCTCTTCCCCAAATCCCCAGCGCTGTTCCCCTCCCCCAATTCTCCAATAAAATCTTAAAAAAAAAAAAGACTTTGTATGTCTAGGATGAATGTAAACATCCTGAATAACTTCAGGTTTTGAGAAGTTAGAAATGAATATTTGAATTTCTAGAGCAATCACTAAAAGAATAGAAACACAGTATATAACCTGCAAACTACCAGATGGGAGAAAATGGAATGAAAAAAATATATATAATCAATCCAAAAGAAAGGAAGGGGGAAATAGAACACGCAGTCACAAAATAAGATCATAAATTTAAACCCAAAAGTTTAGCATATAAATAAAATATAAATGGACTCAATGGTTCTTCAAAAATTAGATATAAAAATATCTAATTATATTCTTTTTACAAGAGATACATCCAAAACATAAGGATACAGTTTGAAAGTAACAGGTTACAAGAAGAGATACCAAGTGTTTGGTGAGGGCTTAGTCGGGAAAACAGAAGCTTCTCTAATCATTTTCAGTAAAGAGATTTATTTACTACAGGGAATTAGAGGCTTACACAGCCTTTGACCGGCTGGGTGATAAAGATCAGGGAGCAAAAGATCAGCAGGTTGCTTCCACAGGAAATCTGCTTTCAGGAAAGCAACAGTGGGTGATTCTCAGAAAGATTAATGGATGCTTCTTCTCATCCAGCTTCCAAAGCTTGTGCAGTGCACCTCAATGGCTGAATGTCACCCAAAATCATAAAAGGAACGAGATGCTGCGAACTGTAGTTCCCAGCTTTCCCATTGAAGCAGAGGTAAATACTGAAGCAGAGGTAAGTAATGATGCCCACTGGTAACAATCAATCCAGTCCAAAAGGAAATAGGCGTAGCTATGTTATTATGAGGCCAAAATAGACTCTAAGGTCAAAGGATTACTAGAGATAAAAAGAATCACTTCATAACATAAAAATAAAAACATTTAATTTGCCGGGAAAATCTAGTATTTGAATTTGTACTTGCCTAATAAGAAAGTTTCAAAAATATATAAAGCAAAAAATGACAGCACTACAAGAAGAAATAGATACACCCACACTCATATTGAATGGATTTTATACATCTCTCTCAGATATAAACAAAAAATGTAACAAGGATATGCAAGATTTGCAAATATGAGCTAGCTTGACCTAATGGACATATATAGGACACTGTGCCCAATAACTCCATTCTTTTCTAGCTTGCACAGAACATTTACAAATATTGACTGTATCCTGGGCCATAAAGCAATTCTCAACTAATTTCTAAAAGTCTAAATTGTACACAGCATATTTTATGACCTCAATAAAATTAAGCTGGAAATCAACAACAAAAAAGTAAAGTCACCTCTTAGAAATTAAGAATCGTACCTCTAAATGACTCATGAGTCATAAAAAATTAAGAAATATTTAGAACAAAGTGACAAAAATGCTGCAGTTTAAAATATGTGGTATCGGGCCGGCTGAGTGGCGCGATGGTTAAGAACTGGCTTGGGATGCCAGAGGGCCCCGGTTTGGAACCCACATATGAGGGCCAGTGACACTGCCCTCTACAGCAAAGATGCTGAACAACAGCTCAACCTGGAGCTGGGCTGCCGTGAGTCGGTGGCGTAGGCTGCAGCCCCTGTGGCAGTGGGTTGCCATGGGCTACCGTGTGTAGCCAGCAGCCAGCGTGAGCGGCTAGCAGCCGCAGTGAAGGGCCGTCCAGAAGCCGGCGACTGATCTGCCTCCCCCGGGAAGAGTGAAATGATGGTTCCAACTTGGACCAGTGAAGCAACGTCCTCCACAACTAGACTGAAGAACAAAACGACAGCAACTTGTCCGTTCCCCTTCCCCCAATTCCCCAGCACTGTTCCCATCCTCCCAATTCCCCAATATAAATCTGAAAAAAAAAAAGTGGTATCAACTAAAGAGTATTTAGAGGAAAATTTATAGCCTTAGATGCAAGTGTTAGAAAAGCAGAAAGACTGTAAATTAAATCCCTAAGACATGTTGAAAAGCAGAAAAACATGGCCCATAATCAAGAGGAAAATCAGTCAATAGGAATAATAAATGTAAACAATTTAATTTAAACAATAATTTTATAAATATACTCAATGGGGAAGGATTCATGGATTAAAATTCAGGGGTAGAAGAACAGAGAATAGATAACAGAGGGGGGAAAAGAGAAAGGGACAATGAATGTGGCAAAGGAGAGAACTAGAATTTAATGAAAGGGCTTTTTTAGAATAGAGAAGTTCTAATAGTTTCTTTTAAGTTATCTGCTAAGAGTTGTTGATTCTCTTCCTCAGAACCCCTCCTCAATCTTCACGAAACGTCTGTTTGCAAGAGCTAATTCATATTTGAAATTAGGGAGTGAGAATCAAGAAGAAGGGATTATGTCTCTAAAGAGATGAAAAAATAACTACAGGATGAGCAAGGGGAAGTGAGAATGCAAAAAAATTGGAGAGACAGCTACTAGAAAAGTAAGGCCCTGACACTTCATAGGTATCTTGGAGAAGCACAAGAATGCCCAAAGGTATGGAATGGGGTTCCCAGCAGATTTTACCTAGACCTGATGGGGCAGGGTGGCCCATCTGACCTATTTTTATTACACATGTCTCAGTGAATTAATTTACAGTGAGGAACATAAAACTCTCCGACAGATCTACCCAGGAAGAATAGCAGGTCTGGAGGGGGGAAAAAAGGATATGGTAAACGACCACAGCCGTCTACGAGACAAGCTGATACAGCCATTGCCACATCTGGGCCATTTACAACAATAATAATGAGGTTATGGAGGGATCAAGGTCACAAAGCTGTTAAGTGAGAAAGCTGGATTTGAACCCAGGCATATCTAACTCCAAGGCCTGCACCCTGTCCCCTACATCATAGGGGGCCTTTCCGAGTGCTTCTCCCCTAGATGGCTCACATCTGCTTCAAATCATTGTCTAAGAGAAAGATACCAACCTGGAATGGTAGCTCAGCCATCGCATATTGGGGCTTCCTGCGAGGTCCTCTCTGGCAAAGAAGACCCCCTCTCAGGGGTCTTCTCTGGCAAAGACCTGTCTATGATTTATGTCTGCATTTGGCTATTTGTTTTCTATATATCTCATGTCCTTTTTGTCCCTCTACTCCTCCATTACTGCTTTCTTTTGCATTAAATGGATCTTTTCCAGTATACCATTTTAATTCCTTTGTTGATTTTTAACTATTTTTAGAGTAATTTTCTTAGTGATTGCTCTAGGAATTATAATGGACATTTTAATCACAATCTACATCAAATTAATGCTGATTTAATTACAGTAGAATAGGGAAGCTTTGCTCCCCTATAGCTCTATTCCCTACCCCCATTTTTTGGCAAAGAGCTATCTATGAAACAGGCACTGGGAAACTTCTGGCAAATATGATAAACTATTTGCAATTTAATTACAAATGCCATATTTGTGAGCTGACAGCACATTACTCAAAGTCATACAAAGTTATCAGCCAAGTGCAAAGGTCACGACAAACAGGTTTTACTGATTTTTATGCCTAAAGTTCTATATTCCATCACATGTGCTGCACAAAAATAAAAACACAGCGACACGTACAGTCACAGGGGAAGAGGGTGGGAACTTGAGCGATTCCTAGTACCTCAAAGCAGTTGGGCAAGGCTGGAATATATCAGACAGTCACTAGCCCCTTGAATGGGCCCCGAAGCAGAACTCACAGGTCACTACATAATGGAATGAGCTTCTTCACCTGAGATGAGACTTAGTAATTCTTGAATGGCGTTTTGTTCATGGACGCTGAGCTGTTGTTCTTGGGCTAGATTGAAGGCTCTCGTGGCATATTCTTGTGCCTGGAATAGAATTGTACTGACAAAAGGAAGTTGTCACAGGGAAGCATTACAGTGGGAAACCCATCTGTGCTCAATCCCAGAAACATGGGCAAGGACCCATCAGCTTCTCACTCCCGCCACTGAGTTCTTGTTGGAAACTTGTGAGCACACACTGGGTCCTTACAGCTAGCCACACATGTGCTGCGTGGGGCCAGGGAGCAGCAGAACACCCACCTGACCTGACAAAGCACACCTTCTTAGTAAAGTGAGAGCTCTGTAGGATCTTAAGCAGCGCCCTTTGAACCTGCATTGGGAGACATGGACATGATAGGTGCCACAGGTAAATTGCTATCCTGGGGGCCATGTGGCCCAGGGTTTTGACTTGGACAGAGGCTTCACAGGACATCTTGGGACAGACTCTTGCTCTCTCTTTCCTCTCTCCCACCTTGCCTCCCTTTTTCCTTCCTTCCTATAAATATTTATCAAATGGCCATCATGTTCCAAGTACTGTGACTACAAGCTAAAAATCCTGTGCTTGTGGAACTTACAGTATAGCAGGGGAGAGAGGCCATAAACAAGATGAATAAGTAAAACAGATAGTGTCTTAAATAGAGATACATGCTAAGGAAAAAAATAATAAAGCAGGAAAGGGGGAGAGGAAGCATCAGTAGTGGAGTGGCATTTGGCAATTTTAGAGAGGGGGCCAGGGAAAGCTTCACTGAAGACTGAGTAAAGACTTGAAGGAAGTGAGGTGCCAATCTTGAGTAGATTGATGTGTCCCTTTTCTCTAAAGACCTCTTGTAGACGTAACACCCTTAACGCGCCTTGGGGTAATGACTTCCTTGAGTATACAGAGGAAAGCTGCTCCCTGGACTGTAGAAAAGATGTAAACTTGGAAATTCAGTGGACATGTTGCCCCATTCCCTAGCCACCCTTACCCCAACCCAGATATGGTTTGTGTCGCTCCTTTGTGCTGCCATGTGCCCTGAGCTTTGCTGTCACCTCTGTTATGACCTGCTGACTGGGAACTCCTCCAGGACCCAGTACTCAGTAGGTGTTGAGTAAAAGTTTGTTGAAGAAAGTAATGGGGGAAGAAAGGCAGGGAGGAAGAGCGGGGGGAATCCTAAATTTTCCATGTCACCCACACAGAAGGGCCTCCTCCAACCATCCCTCCTTCTCTCCTTGCCTGCTTCATTTTTCCTTGTAACACTTTTTTGCTGTCTGAAATTCTAGTACATATTTATATGTTTACTTGTCTATTGTGACTTCCCCTCCTCTAAAAAACCTAAGTCCCACGGAGATAGGGAACTTATCTGGTGGTTTTCCACTGTATCCCCAGTTCCTAGAATAGCAAATGGTAGATGCTCAATAAATATTGGTATGAATCAGTGAATCCGCTTTTTTATAAACCTGAGATGTGCCACTTATTGTCTGTCAGAAATTGGGCAAATAATAGACCCTCTCTGTGCCTCAGTTTCCTTACCTGTAAAGGGGGAATAATAAGACAGCTACTTTATAGGGTTGGTAGGAGAATTGAATATGATAATTCATGTAAAGCACTTAGGCTGGTGACTGGCATGTAATCACCACTCAAAAATGATTACCTTTTAAATTATTTTATGGCAACCCGTTTCTGCCTGGGTCCCTTCGGCAACAGAGAACTCGCTCACTGACTATAGTTAGAGCCACTACATTCCACCAAGGACTCCCCAGAGCCCTCCTGCCCTGCAGCCTTCCCAGCACTGCCCCAGCCTCAGTTTACCTCTGCAACCCTGGGTTTCCATTATGCAGGCTGGACTCAACAAATGAAAAATGTCATGAGCATCTGAACATTTTTGGAGTGAGGGCTTACTTGAGCGTAAAAGCTAGTGCAGTTGGGCAATACACAGCTGAGTTCAACTAGAGGAATTCCACCTCCATTGTAGACGTGCTGCTTTTCGAAGGAAACTTGCCTTTGAAGGGTTCATCATCAGGTGGTAAAGCATGACCAGGGTTTTCAGGACAAAGACAGTTTTTTGAGGGTCCTTGTCAGCTGTAGATTCCCGAATGTTCAAGATTGTAGTCAGGATGTGGATGGCTTCTGCTTCCTGGGCCTCATCTGCAGTGGAAAGGAAGGGATGAATAAACAGGCCCTGGGGGGGGAGGGCAGCTGAGTGTACCCCCCAGCAATGAGCACTGAGCTGTGAGGGCACCTGGCCTCTTGAGGCCTCCAGGAGAGGCAGCACAAACTACAGCAAGTCCTGCCCCTGGAGGACCGCTGCCATGGGCCGAGCAGGAAGCTACGGTTTCAGGAAGCTTCCCAGCTTTGCCTGGCATGTCATTATCAGAGTAACCTAAAGACATGTTCATTCCCACAGGTCCCCAAGTTGCGATGAATTAGATCTCTTAGGCTCCCAAACACAGGGCGTTTATCACAGCAGGATTTCTCGGGCCCAGCTCAGCTTCTACCCTATAGCAGGAGGGAGCAGGGGCTTCTGCAGCACCTTAATTCTCCTCCCCAAACCCAAAGATTCTTAAGCAATAGCCTTTCTGCCTCCTCTGGGGAAGGCTGTTCACAATTTCCCCCCAGCAGTTTTTGGTTCTACTTTAGTCATCAATTATTGACTTATTATGGGCCAGATACCTAAAAGCACTTTCTAAGTACATCAAGTTCCAGAACAACGTCATTTTGTTCAACATCATGTTATTATAATGTTGATGAGGAAAGAGAAATCAATTCCCAGCTGGGGCCACTATCTGCATGGAGTGTGCCCGATCTCCCCGTGTCTGTGTGGGTTTCCTCCGGGTGTTCTGTTTTCCTCCCACATCCCAAAGATGTGCACATGAGGTGACTGGCATGTCTGAATTGTCCCAGTCTGAGTGAGTGTGGCAAGGTGTGTGTGTGGATGGCCCTGCAATGGAAGGGCGTCCTGTCCAGGGTGGGTGCCCACCTGAGCTGCCTGGATAGCTTCCAGTCGCCCGTGACCTTGAATTGGAATAAGCAGGTTGGAAATGAATTATTTTACTTGTTTTTATTAATCTGTCTTACTGTACATACACAGGGTGCAGAAAAAATTTATACACATTTTAAGAAAGGAAAAAAATGTATTAAAATTGTAATACTCGATATATACTGATAGCAAAAGATTAATACAAGTCATGTGTATACATTTTTTTGGAGCCCTTGGTATAGCTCACATTTATTTCAATGTTTAATATCAGAAGTGTTTGGGGTCTTTACTTAGAAGTTTGGTGATGTTTTGTGACCAGAAATACACCATAGGAACTTAACTCTTGCTCATGTCAATTCGCCTATGGTAAAATTGGTTTTGTTATACATCGTTTCGCTTGACGTCACTGTTTCCAAGAACCTATCGACCACATTGAGGACTTACTGTGCTAGCTTGGAGAAAAAGACAGAAAGAATAAACACCATAATGTGAAGGTTGACTATCGTTGGATAGCTGTGATTCAAAGTTTTCTGCTTTAACATGAACCACTTTTACAATGCGAGAAAGCTCAATAAAGTTATTCGCTTTTTCTTTTTATTTATTTATTGTTTAATGAGAAATTAGAAGTTATATATATATTTTTTTTTTAAGATTTTTTTTTTAATTGGGGAATTAGGGGATGGGAACAGCGCTGAGGAATTGGGGGAAGGGGAACACACAAGTTGCTGTCCTTTTGTTCTTCAGTCTAGTTGTGGAGGACGTTGCTTCACTGGCCTAAGTTGGCACCATCATTGCGCTCTTCTCAGGAGAGGCAGATTAGTTGCCGGCTTCTGGACGGCCGCTCTCGGCGGCTGCTGGCCACTCACGCTGGCTGCTGGCTACACACGGTAGCCCATGGCAACCCACTACCACAGGGGCTGCAGCCTACGCCATCACCGGCGACTCACGGCAGCCCAGCTCCAGGTTGAGCTGTTGTGCAGCATCTTAGCTATAGACGGCAGTATCACTGGCCCTCATATGTGGGATCCGAACCGGGGCCCCGCTGCTCAGAGCTGGTGTCCCAAACCAGCTCTTAACCAATGCGCCACTCAGCCGGCCCGTTATTCACTTTTTAAACCTTAGCTCAAAACCTCTCCTATAAAAAAGTCTTCCCTCTCCAACATCATTCTCACCTCTTCATTCTGGGGCCTGTCTTGAAATATATATAACCTGTGCTCATGGAAATTTTCTTTTGGTAATTTACATGGGCTCCGTATCACCAGCTACACTGTCATTTCTGAGCACTCATTAGATCCTCTGTCTCTTTATTCTCTCGGGGGAATGACGCTGGACAGTGCTACTCCACACTCAGCCCCTAGCTGAGCCTGGGGTTGGAGGGATGACTCAGACTCAGCGCTGCCACTGAGAGGCTCACTATCCAGAAAAGGACGGGGATAAGGTACCAGAACATGGAGCACCCCGACTTCTGCATCGAGTCTCCCTTGGCTCATGGGCCCTGGAGGGACAACACCTAAGAAATGGATGCTCTGCAGACAACACTGTGGGCTCTTCCCAGGTCCTTTTCCCTCCAAATCTGTCCCTTATGAACCACTGAAAGGCTGGGTGTGAGGTAGGGATTGCCTGTCTCAGTTTCCCCACCAGCAAGATGGGGAAGGTGGCACTGATGTGCTCCCCGACAGGGACGAAGGCTTTCCCTCTCCGGGGCAAGGTCTGTGGACTAGGAGGGACGCAGCCACTGCCCTGCTTCCTGGGGGGAGCTGCTACTTACCCAAGCCGGTGTCAGTCTCAAATTGTTTGCCCAGCAAATCTATTTGTTGGATGCAAGCCTGTGAGAGGACTTGATAGTGATTGTTCAAATATTTATTCCAGATCTCAGAGACCTGTTGGAAAAGGAGATGCAATCAGACAAGCAGGCCAGACCTTAGCCTTTGGGCCAGCCAGGTGGGAGGGCAGCACCTCTGGCTGGGTTTCCTGACAGTCTGCATGTTCCCTGGAGGCAGGGGGAGCCTCAGGGGCCCACACAGGTCTGGCCCAAGCAAGAGTGACAAGTGTTAGGCTGCAAGGGCATGTGGCAGGCTGATCTGGGGACAGCCCTGCTGGGGTCTAACAACAATGGCTACCATTTGTTGAGCACATACAACTAAACCTTTATATCCTCACAGCATCCCAATGGAAGTCATATTCTTATTAGTCCCATTTTACAGATAAATAAACTGAGGATCAGAGAAGTTAAGATCACACTTGACTTTTCGTAAGAGCTGCTATGTGGCACAGCTAGGAATTAAATTCAAGTCTGTGTGACTCTGAAGGTCATTTCTTTTCAGCTACACCACAGTGCCACTTCCTCACAAGTGGGCCTAAAATACAAATAGTCACAGCAAGAGAGCCTGCATCACACACAGGAGTGGTTGCTTGCTAAGTGAGGTGTTATTGTGTTACCAATATTTTAACACTTTGGAAATGGTTTAAAATCTTTCACATGTAAAGATGAAAATTTCAAAGTACTCTCATGTTCTTTGATCCCTTCATATGACCTTTCAGCAATAATTTTCTCTTAAAAACTCATCTTCTCTATCATACACCTCAATATGCGCACATTAGCTCGCTCCTGTGGGAATGACAGAGCATATGACAGTCTATTTGGAGGGGTTTGGTTCTTAGTGACCCATCACTTATTATTTGTTAATCGTCCTATGGATGCTAAGGACTGATCTACTTTGGTAATAGAGAAACAAACAGAAAGAAAAGTGGAATATATCATGTATCAGGCTGTGTGAACTTGGGCAAGTCACTTCATCTCTCTGTGCCTCAAAGTTCTCAAGAATGATCCGACACCAGTTGTAAGACAAAGGTTCAAGGGTCAAGGCTCAGTTCCTATATTCCCCAGCTCACCTTGGTGTATAGCGTGTCTGCCAGCTCCAACTTATTAAGGCCATAGAAGATATTAGCCAGATGGAAGTAGCCTCCTGAGGTCCTGATGTCCTCTGTTCCAAATGCACAACTGGAAAAATAAATCTATAGCAGAAGGGAGAAGGAGAGTGCTTGAATGTTCTTTGTAAATCATATATCTGATAAAAGACTTGTATCCAGAGTATATAAAGAACTTTTATAACAGCTCAATTAAAAAATGGGCAAACAGGGGCAGTCAGTTGGCTCAGGTGGTTAGAGCACAGGCTCGTGGCACCAAGGTTGCCGGTTCGATTCCCACATGGGCCACGGAGCTGCACCTTCCACATCTAAATTGGGGCGACCACTCGGCTTAGAGCTGAGAGGTCCTGGAAAAACACACTATTCCCCAATAAAATTTCTTCAAAAAAAAAATGGGCAAAAGACCTGAATAGACATGTCTCCAATGACTAATAAGCACATGAAATGATGCTCAACATTTTTAGTCATTAAGGAAATGCAAAATAAAACCATCATGAGATATCACTTCACACATACTAGAAAAGCTCTAATCAAAAAGGCAGAATATAACAAGTATTGTCAAGGATGTAGAGAAAATGGAACCCTCATATATTGCTGCTGGGAACATATTGTAAAATGATGCAGACTCTGTGGAAAACAGTTTGGCAGTTTTCAAAAAGTTAAACATATAGTCACTGTATGATCCAACAATTCCATTCTTAGGTAAATACCCAAGAGAAATGAAAATATGTGTCCGCATGAAGACTTGTCCACAAATGTTCATAGCAGCATTATTTGTAACAGCCAAAAAGTGGAAACAATCCAAATGTCCATCACCTGATGAATGGCTAACAAATTGTGGTAAATTCAGATAAGGGACTACTACTCAGTAATAAAAGAATGAAGTGCTGATACGTACAACAACATAGATGACTCTCAGAATAATTATGCTAAGTGAAAGAAGTCAGATGCAAAAGACCACATATCATTTTGTTTATATTAAATGTCCAGAAAAGGCAAATCTAGAGAAGCAGACAGTGGGTGCCTGGGGCTGGGAGTGGGAATGAGAAATAATCGCAAATGGATATAAGGGATCTTTTTGGGGTGATGAAAATGTTCTAAAACCGGATTGTGCTGATGGCTGCACAACTCTATGAGTTTACTAAAAATTATTGAATTGTACACTTAAAGTGGGTGAATTTTATGGTATGTATCAATAAAGCTGTGGTTGTTTTTTAAAAATAATTTTTTATTCTTCAATTACAGTTGATATTCAATATTAGTTTCAGGGGTACCGTATAGTAGTTTGACATTTATAGTTATTTTTCAAAGCTAGGCTGAGTAATCTGAACTTGATCTAATTCTTAACACCATTGCCCCAGCTCAAGACAGAATGAGTCTCTGCTTAACAGAGGCCATTGGGTGAATTATGTAGAGAAACACAGGTGAAGAGGTGTATTAGTCAGGGTCCTAGGTGGAAAGAGATGGCACCCTCAAAATTATTTCCTGAAGAGAGTTCAATGAAAATTATTTCCAGAGATGTGAAAGGGTTAAGAAACCAACAAGAGCTAGTGAAGCATCAGGGATTATCAACAGCAAGAAACTATTACCATCCCAACTCCTGAAAAAGCAAGGGGAGAACGCAGGGTTACCAGGACCCAGCAAGCGCTAGAGCTATGGAAGAAGGCTTCCTGTCAACAGCTGTGGTCATGGAGGAACACTGCCCCTGCCAGAACTGGGATGGGGCAGAAAGACAGCAGGGAGAGTCAACACCCCATTCTCTTTCTCCTCCTAACCTCATTCTCTTGCCACACCTCTCACTTTCCAAACTCAATCAAAGCCAGAGAGCAATGGAGTCTAGGTTGTGTGATGCATAGAGGGCAGCCTCCCAGGGCAGAGTAGGGCAGAGAATGGATTGCGGGTAAGGGGATACGGAGACTAACCAGCACGAGAATGTTGCCAGTGGATCGACGGGCCTTGTGCACTGGCAGCCAACCAGAGGGAGGGGTGCCCAGAGGAGAGGCTGCGGAGAGAGCCAACCTGCGTGGAGACTGCAGTCTGAACCTACCCGCATCCAGATTTCTCGGCTCTCTGGTAATGTTGTCCAATACTGAAATCCTAATAAAAAGCTCATAGATTTTGGAAGAACAGTTCAGTCATCACCCTCATCATCGTATCTAACATGGGCACAGAGTGGTATAATTTATAAAGCACTTTCATATACCACCAGCTCCTTTAAATTTCATAACCACACTTGCGTAGAGACCTCGATGTTATTTATAAAAATAATAGCCACAGTGCTACACATGTGTTGTCCTATTATTTGTCTCTGCAATGACCCAACGAGGCAGAGATCATCTTATAATTTCTGACTCACAGGTGAGAAAAGAGGTGAAATGGTTTGTCGAAGACTGTGTGGCTGGTGAAACTACAGACCCGGGACTAGAAGCGAAGCCCTGCCCTCAACCAGGACACTGTTCTGCCTCCCTTTGGTATCCTCAGAGCAATGGAAGCTTGGGGAAATGAGGTGACCTGGACAAAGGTGCACAGCCAGGAAGTGGAAAGGCCTGAGCTCAGGTTGTTAGAATAGTGTTCTTGCTAAGACCCCACCAAATAGTCCGTTGTAAACAGAAAGTTATAGAGAAACGCTCAGTTAAAAAAGAAAAAAATCCCAAAACTAAATAGCTGTTCTCAGAATCATTCAAGTGTTATAAATTAGCTTGTTTACATCATTGGCCAGGTGATAACGGGCTTCCTCATGGTTTTCCTTAGCCATACAGAGAAGTCCCAGGTTTCGATGCAATAAAGAGTTGGTGGCATAAGAACATTCAGTTGATTTGAGGACGGTCCACTGGGCTTCGGCTAGATATTCCTCAGCCTGGACGATCCGCCCCAGACCTGCCCAAAAGAAGGAAAGAAGATTACAATTCATATCCCGGCCAGGGAACACATTATGAAATACGTCATCACAATCCATTCATTTATTCATTGACTCAAACATTTATTGATACACAAAAACTTGTACATGAATGTTCACAGCAGCCTAATAACAATAGCCAAAAATATAGAAACAACTTAAATGTCCATCAGGTGATGAGTAGATATGCAAAATATGGTCTATCCATACTCATGTGTAGAATATTATTCAGTTATGGAAAGGAATGAAGTACTGACACACACTACAATGTGGATGAACCTTGAAAACATGCTAAGAAGCCAGCCATAAAAGGCCACATATTGTATGATTTCATTTATATGAAATGTCCAGAATAGGCATAGCCATGGAAATGGAAGGTAGATTAGTGGTGACCATGGGACTGTGGATATGGGAAAATGGGATGTGACTGCTAATATGGGGATGACTAAAATGTCCTGGAATTAAATGATGTGATGGTTGCACAATCCTCTAAATATAATTAAACCACTGAATTGTACTTTAAAAGGGTAGATTATAAGGTATGTGAATAATATCTCAACTTAAAAATATATGTGTATTTTTATATACCAGGCCTTGTGTTGAATGATGGGAATTCAAAGATGAATCAAAGTTATTACCCTTGAAAAATTTACAGTTGGATTTAGGGAATAAATATGTGACATGAAAACAAAATATTTATAACATAGTGTAACATAGTGTAAGTGCAACACTAATAACATCATAAGGCTTGAAAATGGCAGAGTAAGAAGTGTTTAATTCTATAAGCTGGGTAGACAAAAACAATGGAGTGGGGAGAGGCACAGTCAGTGCTTTGGATGGAATGTTCTGTCCCCCAAAATTCATATTTTGAAGCCCTAACCCCCAAAGTGATGTTATTTGGAGGTGGGGCCTTTGGGAGGTAACTAGGTCATGAGAGTAGAGCCCTTATTAATGGGGTTAGTGCCTTTATAAAAAGACACACTAGAGAGATGATCTCTCTCGGCCATGTGAGAACACAGGGAGAAGTTGGCTATCTACAAACCAGGAAGTAGGCCTTCATCAGACACAGAATTTGCTTGTACCTTGATCTTGGATTTTCAGCCTCCAGAACTGTGAGAAATAAATATTTTTTGTTTAAACCACCCAGTCTATGATATTGTTATGGCAGCCAAGCTAAGACAATCAGGAAAGTCCGAGCTGGGTTTTGAGATGAATAGAAGTTTTCTGAATAGTTGAAGGAGACAGAGCATCCTAGGCAGAGGTAACACATATGTAAAGTCATGACAGTATGAAATATATGCCATATTCGGAGAACTATATATCGGTCTGTGATTCTGGAG